TAACCAAAGAGTTATTATGATTTAGTTCGGATAGGTTAAAAAAAAAGGTTAAAATGAGAGGGTAAAAATAATAAAATTAAAAAAAAACATGGATATTGTGTAAGGAGAGGCATACAGTAAAAATAATTTTCTGATTAACAGATTTAAAAACAATTGTGCCTAGTATATGGCAATAGGCTCACCCCCTATTACATGGGACTTGTAACATAAATAGTAAAATGTGGGTGTTACATAGTACAACGGCATTAAGTGCTGTAAATGTGCACCTCTCCTACTCCTTTGGGGATAAAAGGCGTGAGATTTATTATTAATTACTTATTATTATTTTTTTTATTTTCATCACATTGTTTATTTTAATTTGTATGTACCTATATATATTTTTTTTTGTTATTATATGTATAATATTATAAGTCACGGGCAAGTGCTGAAAATCAGCGCCGCGACTCGACCACACTCGTGTCGCGGCATTTAAGCTGAGCTCTGGCCTTTTTGCGCCGTCTTTGTTATATTGTTTTATATTTTTTGTTATTGTACCTTGTGACGGTGTGCAAATAAACTATTTTTCTTTCTTTCTTTCTTCTGATGTTATGTTTTAACGAGCTCTGTTATGCCAATCGTCGTAGCGGCCCGGACGTTAAGATACCCTCTTCTCATGCAAGAGGGCTCAGATTAGAAACCTACCAATCACACACAGTACACAAGGCCACACATCAATGTATACAAAACCAGTTTATCCTGGTGTCGCGTCGCATCACCTTTCCGCACATTTAACGTTCAGTTTATACTGGTTATGTAAAGCTCAATGTGTAGCCGTGTATACCAATGAGACTTTTCCGAGTTATATGTACTTTCTAAGATTATCTAGACACCATTGACAAACGGTGAAGGAAAACATCGCGAGGAAACCTGGAATTTCTAATTCTAAATTTGTAATTGCCAACCCACAATGAGCAAGCATGGTGATTAATGTTCAAAACCTTTGGCGTGTGAGAAGAGGCTTTGCTAAGCAGCGGGCATTTATAGGCTGTTTTTTTGTTTATGGCATAAGCCGGTAAACGAGCAGACTGATCATCTGATGGTAAGTAATCGGCGTCGCCCATGGACATCTGCAACACCAAAGGCGTTACAAGTGCAACACCGGCTTTTTGGAGATTAGGAGTTTGATGATCGTTGGGGATTCAGGGATTGGGGAGATTGGGGGAAGGGGAAGGTAATTGGGCCTGTTCATGTATTCTGCCAACCAAGCCTTTATGTTTCATATCCATAATGGAGGTAGTTGTAGAAAAAATTTGATTATAATATTATATGGTCATCAGGATTAACCATTAGTATTATATTAGTAGATTCATAGGAGACACAATGTATTTTGTATTGTGTCTCGTATACCTACAGTAAAAAAGTTAAGAGTGTTTCAAAAGTCAGATCAATCTGTTGTCAGGATCAAACAAACTTTATTTATTTTAACTCGTCGAGTACCGTCATTATAGACACAATTATAGAACAATAGGTTGCGGTCACCGGTGACCGCTTGGTGTTTGACAGTTTAATGGGGAAACTTAAATAAAACTGTTTAAAGAAGGAAGATAGTGACGGAGATGATTAGGAGAGATAGAAGAGAAAGATTTGTGGATAGGATGACACCTAACAGAGAAAGAAACAAAATATTTTGTGACGACCGCAAGCTGAATTGGAGCTGACCTGATAGTGGCAAGAAGACAATATTTTTACATACTTATAAGTATACCAGCTTCTGCCAGTGGCTTTGCCTGTATTCTTGTGATAAAAACTTATCACACTAATATTATAAATATGAAGTTAGATGTTTATCTGTCAATCACGCTGAAATTGCTGAACAGACTTTGATGAAATTTGGTGACTTAGGTGATAGGATACTCCATTACTAGGTGGATTTTTTTCGGATTTTTAACTTTTTTTATATATTTGTTAGGCAGACATTTGACCACTATCTTCACTGCTAGTGGTAGGCGATGATGCGGTCTACAATGTAGCACGTCGTCCCATAAGCAACCTATTCATCTATTCCGATTAATTGCTCCCATGGGATAAAACAGGAATCATTTCCTACACGGACAAAGTCGCAGGTAACAACTAGTGTGTTATAATAACCTTACCTATCAGCATTTTCCCCGGGATTATCATAATAATCAGATTCGCTGCCAGACGCCGTTCCCGCATCATCCTGCCGGGCTGCAGCACTCTCCTGTTGATGATATTCTTGTGGTTCTTCCTGACGGAACCCAGCATAAGGTTTGACGGGCGTTTGCCGCCTAAATCTCGTTTCAATGTCGTCAGGAGACTCAAAGTCCATTAACTTAGAACTCTTCTTCCTCACACGCCCGCTACGGGATATGCCAGTTACTTCCAAATCTACAAAATTGGCAAAAAGTTTTAGGAGGGAATTATTTTTTAGCGTGTTATGCTATCACAACGTGGATAAATAACAGCTCGTAGTATTATATGCACTTGTTGAATGCTTACCTTCCTGCATTTTGATGTTTGGTGCACAATTTTAGATATAAATGCTTTGTTAAAATTATTTGTTTACGACGACAATTAATAAAAATGCTGTTCAACAATACGATGAAACATTTTATTTTTGGGAGCTTGACAGTAAATTTTTTGACGTATCGAACTGCGTCAGTCGTTTTTTTTTTGTTTGAACCCAGGTCTTTTGTTATATTAAAAAAAATAAAATATATGCAAAAATATTTTATTCTATTGAATATGAATTAAAAACGCTATTTTACGGTACAATATAGAATAGACTTAGTTATAATTAGAAAAAATCGTTTTTTTTTTACAAAAAATAGGACTAGAGAAAGGGAGATAAATGAGGAAAATGATCGAGAAGAACATAAATAAAACAAACTGATACAACAATCATATTTATTTTAGTAACACTGTCATATGAAACATACATAACAATATACATTTTATATTGGAATATTTTGTTAGTTGGTTACCGCAGTATGACTGAATGCCAAAATATTATGCTGGATGATTTCAAATTACATTTATAAGGCGATCTCGAACGTAATCGAGGTGCATTAACCTTCCTGGCACCCTCAGTCGGTTAAAAAATGAGAAAAATACTTTTATTTCAGTTTGGTACATTGTAAAAATATATTTATGGCAACACTTAGTTACAATGCGACACATAATTATTGATGCTTGTGCGCAAAAACATGATGCACCAGAAAGTAAACAATACAATTTTTAACCAAAAACTAACACTTAAAACCTGGAGAAGCGAACCAAAAATAAATGAACACCCAAAAACATTCAATTTAAGACCGCAAATATACGACTTAAGTTTACAAAAAGATAAAAATTATTAAATAAAAACATACATCAAAATGTAGTGGAGAGTTGGTCGGCAAGGAATACAAGTAAAAAATTACATTTGTTAATCGTTTTTATTCTCACTAGATGGCGCTAATGTATCATGAGTTCTGGTCTGTGTCCAGTCACTATAGAAAATTAACTGCCCATTGCCCAATGGTTTGTCATTATGGAAGGCCTATGTTCAGCAGTAGACGTCTTATGGCTGATATAATAATTAATTATATATTGGACAAACAGAACCCCATGCTACAAAATGCCAAATCGTGAGAAAAATAATATTTGCCTTGTTTTTATAATAACTATCGTGAGACACATTAAATTAACTAAAAAACCGCGGGTTACTCACGTGAAAATACAGAGTAAAGCTCTACTAGTTTCGAACCACAGAGGGGTTCTTCCTCATGAGCAGCGTGCGCGTGTGTATTTTCACATGACTAACCCGCGACTTATAGTTAATATTAGCTTTTGTTGTAGCGAGGAGGGCAAAGGCGGGCATTGCTCTTTACAATCTCTTTTCATACCCCAAGTTTAATAACAAAGTATTATATTAGTATTCAATAAATAATTTCTATTCTACGCCCATGTGAAGACCTAATAAAATCTTGCTTTCAAAATGAACTTGTATAAATAAAATAATGACTGGCTTAAAACCCTCTGCGTTAGACGCAATGGCGATTTATAAAAAAATGAGGTTCCCACATCTATTTACGCTGTAGAAAGGAAAACAATCCTTATTAAATTGTAATGAAGACGATATTTAAGTGTAGGTGTGATTTAATTTCTAAAAACAGGTTACACGTTTTTTTTATTAAAATAATTGAATTTAATGTAGAATCTACACCTAAACATCATGTTAAAAATAATAATTAATTTTGTGACTATAAAGACTGATACCCAAGATAATAAATAAACACATATTACATAGCCTAAAAACAATCAATTTTAACCATAATAAATATAAACAGGTTTATAAGTTAACATTAATAACCTCGCAGAACTGTGAATCACTAATATCATAAAAACCTCTTTCCTACCACTTCGATTTTTAAAATATTATTTTTGACCATCAATATATGTATTCATAAAAAATTATAGATTAATAAATACTTATTATTGAAATATTGTTTAAAGCAAAGACAGACAAACAAGCCGACGTAAGATTTGACGGTAAGCAATCAGTGTCGACCCTAAACACCCGCAACACTAGAAGACTTTACAAGTGTTGCCAGTCTATTGCGATGAGACCTACTGAAACCTCATTAATAATTAAAAACCTACAAAACAAAATTACGCCCGAATCCTGATATACTACACAATTTAAAGTTGTACTTAAATATCATTGCATTTTACAAAGAATTTGTAGTCACACAACTATACTTAAGGGCGACTTAAATTGGGATGATGCCAGGGTATGAAAATTAAAAATCTAATTAGTTCGTAAGTTAGGTAATGAGAAAATATTAGACATGTATTTTTTTATTTTGTCGTATAATAAGACAATACTTAGATAAAACGAATCAAGTTTTGGAGGGGGGCTAAAACGTCATTTCTACGAATAAAAAGTACATAGAAGTGACGTCACGCGACATTTCAAATCAATATATCGTCGAAAGTATTCGTTTCTGTATGAAAATAAAAAATACGTGTCTAATGATTTAAAATAATGTACCAGACGGACATTAAAATAAAAATTAGGCAACTACCCTATTGAGTAGCATTTGAATATTTGGACGATACCTAATGATATTAACAATACACTCCTACGAGACTATTAATAGTAACTTACTAACAACATATACACACACAAATACAATGCAGGAACCTCACAACACGAAATTTAAAAAAAAAATTCAACTGACCCTACCGATGATGTTACCTAAAATGACAGCCATGGCCATTATAATACCAACGCCGGTTAAAATCTGATTTGGTTCTAATAAGACCTTGTTTTTATCCATTTCCTTGATCTGGTCCGCGTCCTCCAGGTCGTGGTGGACAGCTGATAAAGCTTTGGTGATCTCAGCATCAGATTTCTGACTGGATTGCGAAGCGGCTACAATTGCACGAGTAAGGTCCCTTAGTTGATTGTCTACGGTTTTTTCACGATGGTGTAGGTGCTCTGAAAGGGATGGAAATTATTATTTATCTATATGGCTTCATGCACAGACTAATTTAGAAGGTGGGTTTAATGCCATGGGCATTCTATTCCAGCCAGATCTTCGGGTGATGCAGAGAAAATGCTAGTTGCAGAGTAGAATACATAATGGGAAGTTCCCGAGAAGACATTGTATGATTTTCCCCCCTCAAAAAAAAGGGGTATGAAAATGCAAAATCTAATTAGTCCGTCAGTTAGGTAATGAAAAAATATTAGACACGTATTTTTTTGTTCTGTCGTATAATAAAATGATACTTAGATAAAATCAAAGTTTCGGAGTGGGAGCTAAAACGCTATTCTAGAAATTAGTCAGTACAAACAGATAGACATACAAAAATTGTAATAAATGTTATTTTGTTATGTGTATCGTATGCATGTAGTAAGAAGCGGTTATTTTAATATTACAAACATACACTGTGATTTTATTTATCTGTATAGATTTCCGACTTAAATCATAATTTTGTTAGAAAGTTATGAATCTAACATAACATAACATCGCGGCTTTTTCCACGAAGGGGTAAGCAGAGGTGCACATTATGCCACTGTACAATGTAACACCCACTTTTCACTATTTACGTTATAAATCTGTAGGATCTACTTATACATCCGATGCGCTATACAATGTCGAGTATATGAATATGTGTAATAAATATTCGGCTTCCAACATTGTCGTTTCACTTGTCTCCACTATAGTACCCCAGTCACCACAAATCTCATCTAATATAATAGGGGTGGGCCTATTGCCATATACCGAGCACAATTCCAGAGTCCGTGCTATTACTGAGAACTTTAAAAAAACCCAGTAATACTTTGCCCGACCCGAGAATCGAACCCGAGACCCCTTGCCCGGCAGTCAGCACTTGCGGCCACTCGGCCAACGAGGCAGTTTTGAATGTATAGTTTAACTACTTACGTATCAAAGATTCCTGTGTAGCGACTAGACCATTTATATGTTCCTGCATTAATTTCAAGTTGTTGGCGAGATTATCCTGAAATAGGTACACAAAATATATATAGGTATCAAAAATCCTAATTGAAAAACATAATAGACAAAATGATACAATTTTCGAAAGTTCCCCTCGGTTTCCCTAGGATCCCATCATCAGATCCTGACCTCATGGAAATGGGACCATCTCGGGAGTTAAACCTTTTAAACAAAATAAGAATTTTGGAAATCGGCTCACAAATGGCGGAGAAATCGGCGAACAAACAAAAAAAGCAATCAGCCGAACATAATAACTGCCGAAAATAAGTGTGGGAGGGCTTCGGCACGAATGGGCCGGCTCGCCGAGCAGACCGACGTGAAGCAACGCTTGCATTGTGTTTCGTCGAGTGAGGTACTCCCCTTCCCCAATCTCTCCAATTTCTGAATCCCCAACGATCCTCAAACTCCTAATCCCCAAAAGGCCGGTAACGCACTTGTAACGCCTCTGGTGTTCCAGGTGTCCATGGGCGACGCCGATTGCTTACCATCAGGTGATCCGTATGCTCGTTTACCGGCTTATGCTATAAAAAAAAACATAGTACCTCCTCCTTTTTTTGAAATCGATAAAAACCATTGTGCTTGGTCATCCTATGAGTTAAGGTTTGACTCCAGATTTTTTTCAATGTTAAATTTTGATTCTCCACATACTCTTGGTCCGTGCCCTTGTCATACAAATCAATTCCAGATTAAGACAATTTATTTTATCATTTCGTTTTTCAATGGAAACTATCAGTTATAGTCTGTATCCTAATCGCAGGGGTTTGAATACCGGGTGGGTGATATATTTATATTATTCAGATATGTTTGGTGTAAACAGGGCTCGTCTTTCCATATCGATTTTATTCATTCCATAATTATTTTGTATACATTAAACTAGCTACGTCCACGCGGTTGCACCCTCTCTGCTCGGTTCTGAAGAAGGATATAGGCTATAAAACATCACGCTACCATCAATAGGTGCGAAGTAGAGTGGACGAAACCGCGTGGAGTATCTAGATAAATATAATATACTGGCGACGTGTGCAATTTGTATGTATAACACATAATCGTTTCTTAAGAATCACTCTATCTATTAAAAAAAACCGCATCAAAATCCGTTGCGTAGTTTTAAAGATCTAAGCATACATAGGACAGACAGACGGCGGATAGCGACTTTGTTTTATAATATTTAGTGAAGATATAAGAATACCTGGTAAGCAAATTCAGTCTTCATAGCCTCGGTGATATCAGCCCTAGTAGAGCTGCCACCGCCGGCGATGGTGTAGAGTACACTGGCAGACCGAGCCATCTGCTGCTCCATCATCTGACGGAATTCCGACATCTTCAGATGATTGTTTATTGAGGAACCGGCTATACCTAGGACTGTGCCTGGAAGGAGAAGTAACCAACCATTAATAATAATAGGGTACATGACTAATTTTAATTTTAATATCCGTCTGGTAGATTATTTTAAATCATTACGCACGTATTTTTTACAGAAACGAATACTTTCGACGATATATCGATTTAAAATGTCGCGTGACGTCACTTCTATGTACATTTTATACGTAGAAATTACGTTTTAGCCCCCACTCCTAAACTTTGATTCGTTTTATTGTAAGTATTGTTTTATTATACGACAAAATAAAAAAATACGTGTCTAATATTTTTTCATTACCTAACTGACGGAGACTAATTGTATTATTAATTTTTATACCCTATCATCATCCCTATTATTATGTCTTTCAGCATACTCATGTCATTATTTGACGAGGAAGTCGACTAGTTTCAAGCCATGTTAAGGGCTCATGTTCATGAGCAGCATTCCGCGACCCGCGTCGACTGTCGTTATATATATTACAATAAAGTCAAAGCATTTATTTCAATTAAACCATAATTTGGTACTTTTGAAACGTCAACAACAAAATAAATAATAATCTGTCAGTCAGTCCGTCAGTGAAGCTAGGTAATCATTTCATAATGTAGATTCGAATAGAGAAGAACGAACAAGAAACTTCATTCGTTACTCTTTTAAAAAATATATTCTCTTTTTAAAAAAAAGATATATGTTATACATAACGAATACCGATATACTTTTAAGTGTCAAAATACTATTAACATTACAGTTACATAAACCTAAGTATTGTTAATTTATAGTGATTACAAGAACGTTATCGTCGTTTTTGCGGTTGAGTCAATCCGAATGTATCGGCTTCGAAGCATGGCTCTAAAAGAATATATCTGGATTGCAACCTGACTACCAAGTATTTGACAACTAGTCAAATTCAATACTTTTTTCGAACTGCCAAAAACGACAATTTTCTATGAATTTTGTAAGAGATGGTGTATTGTGACGTCACGTTTTTTTTTGCGTCAAGATGCATACTTATTTCTTAAAAAAATGCTGGATAAATACTAAAATTAAGTTGGTTATAAAATCAATTAATGAAAGCGTGATTATTTTTTTAGATTTCAATGTATTGAACAGTTGAAATAAATTATTTTTGATTAAGGAAAGTACCGAATTGCGGTCGCAAATCGGTACTTAAGTTCTTACTTTAGTAGTTAAGCAATAATGCCGATAACTCACCCAATATAGAAGCGACAATATACCAGTATTTGTTACGCTCAGCGTGAGCCCTCTCCCGCTCGTGCCCCAGCTTGACTGCAGCCGACATAGTGGCGAATAGTTCCCTCTCCTCTCGTTCAGCGTCGCCGAATAATGCGCGGAGAGCGCGCTCTTGTACTATAAGCTATAATAGGAGTTATTTTGTTTCAATTTATTACATAACATAACATCACGTCTTTTATCCCCGAAGGGGTAGGCAGAAGTAATACCCACTTTTCACTATTTATGTTATGAGTCCCATGTAATAGGGGGTAAATCTATTGCCATATACCGGACACAATTCCAGACTCCGTGCTACTGATAAGATTTTTTTTTTAATTCAGTAATACAATGCTCGACCCGATCGAACGAAAAAAAAAAAACAATTTACTTTTTTGTTTAGAAACCGGTACCCCACACTAGGATTTTCTCCTGTATCGTAGGTGCGTTTACAAACATACAAGTTCACATACACATGACACCCAGACACGGAACAACAATCTGTGGATCACAGAAAGAGTTGTTCCGTGCGGTATTCCACGGCATTCTCAAGTGTGGGAGAGTCATGCTTAAGCACGAATGGGCCGGCTCGACCGGAGCGACCGGAGTGATACCACGGCAAACTCAAACTGCGTTGTGTTTCGTCGTGTGAGTGAGGTTACCGGAGGCTCAATTACCCCCTCCCTAGTCCCTGTCTCCCGAATCCTTCACAATCCTCAAATTCCCAATTCCCAAAAGGCTGTTAACGCACTTGTAACGCCTTAGAGTTTCTAGTGTCCATGGGCGGCGCCGATTGCTTACCATCAGGTGATCCGTCTGCTCGTTTACCGGCTTACGCTATAAAAAAAACGTTGCGCGGCAGAAAGTTGCCTAACTACCGCATCAACCATGAAGTCGATATAATAGATAGAGATTCTGGCGAGTGTTAATGTTAAGGGGGTTTCGGGTCCAACAAACAGTGTTATAGAGATAAATTACTTGGTAGAAAAGTGTTATTGGAGCTTTTTGGTTGTTCATAACATAACATCACGCCTTTTATCCCCGAAGGGGTAGGCAGAGGTGCACATTATGCCACTATACAATGTAACACCCACTTTTCACTATTTATGTTATGAGTCCCATGTAATAGGGGGTGAGCCCATTGCCATATACCGGGCACATTTCCAGACTCCGTGCTACTACTGAGAATTTTTTAAAAAACCCAGTAATACCTTGCCCGCAGTCATAAAAATAAAATAAAGAACCAACCTTATGTTCCTCAGTACAGAGGTGTAAGTACTTGTCATCGCCTTTCATAGTATTCTGCATCTCTGAATGCAGCTCCTTCAGCCTCATCTCCACACTGGCAACCTGCCGACCAAGTTCCCGCCTTCTGTCCTGAGCTGCCATAAATTTATCCTGAAAATATATTTAAAATTGTTGATATTTGATATCTTCATCATACATTTTAACGCCCCAGCTTCGCGCGGGTGCAATGTGCATGTATTATACATATAAAACTTCCTTAAGAATCACTCTATCTATTAAAAAAACCGCATCAAAATCCGTTGCGTAGTTTTAAAGATCTAAGCATACATAGGGACAGACAGACGGCGGATATATTTGTTGATGAAGATATCAAGTAAAAGAAGTATGTAGGAATCAAAGTAATTGGCGTTCCATGGTCTCTGCCTGGGAAGCCATGGGAGACAGGCGTGAAGTTATCTATGTATTTTTTTTTAAGGAGGGAAAATCATCAAATGACTGCTCCCGCCTAGGTGAGGCGGGAGGGAGTGTCAGACTCTTACTGACTAAAAACCACCCCGTTCCTTCTCCAGCACGTCGAGTTACATGTATATTTAGAATGGAGTTGTTTACGCAACCATGTAACTTTACCATTCACAGTCGAGGTGTTTGTTAAGTATAATTTTCCAAAAAGATAAACCACTATTAACCCGTTGAAATCCACCTCCTAAATTTGGTCATACAAAAGTAGTCTCTAAACATTAGAAAAAAGGTCTATAATGTAATATAATATTAGTGGAAAGCGGTCACCGGTGACCGCTTGGGGATTTATGGGTTAAGTAATGTCTTTGTTATTATGATTGTGTGTTGTTATGTTAACTTAAAGAGTTTGAATTTTTGTTTCTCTTTAAAAACGTTGCCCAACTCTATGTTTTATTCTGTGCCGTGGTTGCATTTACATTTACAAACATACAAGTTGACAATCACATGACACCCAGACACAGAACAACAATCTATATGGCTCACATATATCTCATAAAGAGTTGCTCCGTGCAGGCACCGAACTCGCGACACGTTGCGCAGCACCTAGTTGCCCAACTACCGCGCCAACCGTACACCCCAGAATGTTTTTAAAGGAAATTTGTATTTAATAACTTATGCTAATAACTATTCTCCTGTGCATGATGACATGTGTTAGCCTTTAATTGATAGTGACACTGACAAATGTATATTGTAAAATAACACATAAACATATCATTACATCTTTTATCCTCGAATGGGTAGGCAAAGGTGCACATTATGCTACTGTACAATGTAACACCCACTTTTCACTATTTATGTTATGAGTCCCATGTAATAGGGGGTGAGCCTCTTGCCATACACCGGGCACAATTCCAGACTCCATGCTACTCCTGAGAATGTTTTTAAAAAACCCCTTGCCTGGTATTCGCAGTTGTGACCACTCGGACAATGAGACAGTCTCAAAAACCTATTGTATAGATATTTCATAATTTTTTTGAAGCTCCAACCGTGATCGTAAAAAAAATTCTATTCTTAATCTTTAAATTCATAAGTATAAATAAAATAATATTTGATTTCTTGACCCTATATCTCACCCCCTATTACATGGGACTCTTCACATAAATAGTGAAAAGTGTGTGTTACATTGTACAGTGGCATTAAGTGCTGTAATCTGCGCCTCTGCCTACTCCTTTGGGGATAAGAGGCGTGATGTTATGTTTATTTATATAGCTGGTAAATATAACTACATCCAAAATAGTTCAACTAAAGTCTATTCATAGAGATCTTTAAGAAGAATATAGCAAATTCCTTAGCCCAAAATTTATTTTCGTAAATAACAGTATTTTTGAAGATGGCCTATTTAAATTTCAGTGTTTACATACACAAATTGATCTAATGGTAACACAGAGCATTATGGAGAATCTAAAAATAGATTAGTAACCCATAGCTAGGTTCATCTAGGAGCATAACATTATTATTTAATAAATATGTGCACCATAACATGTCAAAGATTATTAAATACATAGATATATTATAAATAATAATTTTATATTGATATTGGCAGGAGACCAATAATTTCAAACACATGTAGTTCTACATAGTAATGTGATAAATAAGTATTCTAGAATCTAGAGACAAAGCACAGCTTATTGCGTCATTTTTCCGCTTTATCTAAGCAATCTAAGATGAACATGCATTTATTTATTTATATAAACCTTAGTTACACCTTAAAAGATAGATAAAATACTGATAATTTAATACTATGATGTAAGCATAGAACCAACAAGGAGTTCGCATACCATAGCAATGAGAAAAAATAATAGAGGCATAACAATGATTGACCTTGCGCGCATCGGCGGATTACAAAAAAAAAACCAACCTGTGCATCCACAACAGTTTTTTGAATAGCCATAATTTCTTCGACACCCGTGAATTTTTCATATCTAGATACTATTTCGCGCAAATTCTTCGATACTGTGTCGTATTTCAACTTATCCGCTATGTCTGAAACTTTGGTTGCTGGGGTATATTTCGCAAAAAGAGTTTCACGGCCATTTGATAAATGAGGTAAATGCACTTTGTCTTTCAGCCTTTGCGCTATTTGTCTGAGTTTTTCTGCCATATTTACATGTTATTTCTATTGTAGTTTATTGTAATTTATCGTATAAATAACATTTTTTGGTGTAATGATTTCATTCCCGGATAGGATGGGATTTGACAGTGACACTAAACTTTGTGACAGTTGAATCATATGTCACTCTAACTGACGTTTCTTGAAGATGCGATTTTATTTGTGTTCGGATACACACAGCTTAATTTTTTTTTATACTTTTATCATTTACACAATACATTTTTTTAATTCAAATGAACAAGAAAATAAAGTTCAAAATCGATTATAATTAGGCAAATCGTTATATAGAGTACATACTTAGCCTGAAAAATAACTAAACTAACTAAAAAGTGATCCTAAGTAACGCTGAGTCTTGTAATAAATAAGGGTATGCATTTAACTCGTCGAGTACCGGTTTTGTAGACACAATTATAGAACAATAGGTTGCGGTCACCGGTGACCGCTTGGTGTTTGACAGTTTAAGAGACATAGCCGATTTATTCGAGAATTATCAACTCGATCAGTGAAACTACAATGGCCTCACAGAACGCCGGCGTGAAACAACGCTACAATTGTGTTTCATCGTTTGAGCAAATAAGTTAGTAACGCACTCGTAACTCCTGTGCTGTAATTGTTCACCAGCGCCTCTTATTCCTTTTCTGTTTTTGAGAGGGGACAGTCATCCAATCATTTCTCCCGGAGCAGTGATAATCTTAATGATAAAAAAACATCACGTTCCTGCTCCTGCTTCGAGCTGGAGTCCCAGTAACCCGTTAGTTAGGGCATCCGCAGCTCTGAGTCGGGCATCAGTCCTACTGGGCCTCATCTATCAGGTCACTAATCTACTCGTTTGCCCCTAATCCCAAGAGTAGGAAGGACATCGACACGACATACGAGACTAAGGTTGCGTGTGTTTTACGATTTAAATGAACAGGTACAGTCAACCAACTTTTGGGTACAAGCTACAAGTTAAAATAAAGATTGACTCAGTGCAGAGACATGACAGGTATTGTTACACAAAATATTGTGGTTTTTAACGAAACTATAGTATATTTTTAATATTTTGTAACCAGTAGCCTAGTTGACTGGGTCACGGGATATGAGAATTAAAAATGTATTTAGTTCATCTAATACTGAAAAAATATTAGACAAGTATTTTTATTTTGCAGTACAAGAAAATAATAGGTACTTACGTAGATAAAATGAATTTAAACTGTCAAACACCGCGCGGTCACCGGTGACCGCAACCTATTGTTCTATAATTGTGTCTATAATGACGGTACTCAGTCTAATAGTGGCAGCTAGCTACGTCACCACTCTCTATAAAATTTAGTACCTACCTACCTAAATCGTGATGTGACACGATATTTCAAACAACGGTATTTATTTGTTTCCGTATGAAAATAAAAAATACGCGTCTAATGATTTAAAATAATCTACCAGACGGACATTAAAATAAAAATTAGGCATATACCCTATTCTCTGTGTCGCGGAGAACCTAACGGGTAACCGGGGCTCCGACTCGACGTGCAGGAGTAGGAACGGGGTGGTTTTTAGTCAGTAAGCGTCTGACACTCCCTCCCGCCTCACCCAGGCGGGAGCAGTCATTCGATGATTTTCTCCTCTTAAAAAAAACCCTATTCTCTGTACTGTATTTCTTTACTTTTTACCTGCATACTAAACATGCTAAAAAGGCTGACTGTACTTACCTACTTTTAATAAGTTAGGAATATTACTTAGGTGTCCAAGTTCCCGCACTGTTGCACACTGCGTGTCGCACGATATTAAGTTGCTTGCTTATTAAGTAATAGTACTAAGTAAGTACTTAGACTTTACTTAGGTTTAAGGTATTATGTGGGCCAAGGTAAAGAGGGCATGGGTTAGTACCTAGTAATATTTTTATAACTGCCTCATTGGCCGAGTGGTCGCAAGTGTGATTGTGAATGTAATTGGGCCTCCGGTAACCACACTAACACGACGAAACACAAGACAACCGTTGTTTCACTATGTTTTTCTGCTCAGCCGTGGTATCACTCCAGTTGAACCGGCCCATTCGTGCCGAAGCATGGCTCCCCACATTTAAGTTTAAGATTTTTGTAAGTTCTATCTTCCATGTAATAAGAAATGAACCAATGGCCGAACTATACTCAAATACATCCCTGCTGTTGTTAAAAAATTTTGGTAAGAACCCAGTTATGTTCAGCCAGACCTAGGAACTGTCTCCGCTCTCGACAGTCGTATATAAGTAGGTGCTTGCAAACACACGGTCGACAACTCAATCCAGTCTTATTAGGTACTCCTCCTATCATGGGTGAGGTGAAAGAGAGTGTCAGAGTCTTACTGACTAAAAACTAAACCTGTTCTTACTCCTGCTCTTCGCGCCGGAATAACTTAAATTACACTTGTCTTTATTTGCAATCCCTGGCAGTCCAATAGTTAATACTGCTAATAATGTAAATATGGGTACAATCAATGCGTACCTACTGCTACTAATAATTGTTGCTGCATACTGGTACTACCTACATAGGTATAGGTATAATCATCAACAGCCTATAAGTGGCCTCTTCTCACACGGAGAAGGTTTGAGCATTAATCACCACGATTGTTCAATGCGGGTTGGTGGTTACAAAATTATAATTAGAAATTATTTCCCCAGGTTTCCTCACGATGTTTTCCTTCACCGTTTGCCAGTGGTGTATAATCTTAGAAAGTACATATAACTCGCAAGAAGTCACTACGGTACTAACAGGTTACGAATGGGCCGGCTCGACCGGAGTAATACCACGGCCTCACAGAAAACCGGTGTGAAACAGCGCTTGCGCTGTGTTTCACCGAGTGAGTGAGGGTACCGGAGGCCCAACCCCCCCCCCCTCATAATGTCGCAGTTGATTCAAGAGTTTCTACCCCAGGAGGGTACCAACTGCGTTGGAGAATCCCTCTCTGGACGTCCATTTTCAGAACTCAACTACCCTGAGCGTGGACGTCCAGGCCGCCCCACATCGTACTCTGGGGGGGGCAAAACTGCGCATCATAAAGCTGGAGGCAAGAGCAGAATAACCATGGCACCCCTTGCCACGCTGAATGTGGACTTCTGCAACATAAGGGGATTACACACCAACCTCAATGCTGTCCATCACCACCTAGAGACAGCAAAGCCGGCCTTGCTCTTTTTGACTGAGACGCAGATATCGTCTCCGTTGGACACATCCTACCTCACCTACCCTGGGTATGGACTGGAACATTCCTTCCTGCCTAGGGCCGGGGTGTGCGTGTACATCAGGGACGATATCAGCTCACGTCGCCTCAGTAATCTTGAAGGTAGGGACCTGTCCACCTTATGGCTGCGTGTAGATAACGACGACCACCCCCGTGTCTACGCGTGCCTATATAGGTCCCATAGCGGTGATAGCGAGACTGACCGACTCATGGACCACATCCAGACGGCTGTAGATCTTGTGCAGGGGCAGATATCCTCAGCGGAAGTGGTCTTGCTTGGCGACTTCAACGCCCATCACGCCGACTGGCTCTGCTCCAGTAAGACTGACCACGCGGGGAGATCTGTCCACGACTTGGCTCTTGCTTCTGGCCTAACACAACTGGTGACCGTGCCCACGCGAATCCCGGATGTGGAAGGCCAGAGGTCTTCACTGTTGGACCTTCTGCTGACCTCTCACCCGGACGGCTACAGCGTATCCGTCGAAGCCCCTCTTGGCTCATCGGATCATTGCCTTGTCCGGAGCTCTGTATCTTGGACGTGCACACCGCGACTACAAGAGGTACGCGGTCGCCGTGTATGGCACTATAGGTCGGCAGATTGGGATGGGATGCGGTCCTTTTTTGCATCCTACCCTTGGAGGCGGGCTTGCTTCTTGCAGGATGATCCCAACGCCGCTGCCAATTCTGTTGCTGATGTGGTGCTGCAGGGGATGGAGCTTTTCGTCCCATCTTCTCTGGTCCCCGTCGGTGGCAGATATCGGCCCTGGTTTGATGCTTCTACCAGAAAGGCCTCACGCAGAAAGCAGGAGGCCTACCAAGCCTGGGTCGATGCGGCGGTGGCACGGGATGTAAATACCAGTGCACTAAAAAAGGAGTATAACTTTGCCTCCAAGTCCTTCAAAAGAGCTATTGCGGGTGCCAAGTCGCAGCACATCGGTAGAATTGGTGAGAGGCTGGAGCGCCTTCCTTCAGGAACTCGTTCATTCTGGTCGCTCGCCAAAGCTATCGAGGGCAATTTCTGCAGGCCGTCATTTCCACCTCTGCACATGGGTGAGGATTCGTTGGCTCATAACGCAAGGGATAAGGCTCAACTTTTGGCAAAAATCTTTGCATCCAACTCGACACTGGATGACGGTGGGCGCGAGCCTCCTGTTGTGCCTTGGTGCGGAAGGTATATGCCGGATGTGCGGTTCCACCAGCGCACGGTACGTTTGGCGCTTTTATCCCTTGACGTCCATAAGTCGAGCGGGCCTGATGGGATCCCACCCATTGTTTTGAAAATGTGCGCCCCCGAGTTGGCCCCAGTTCTAACACGTCTTTTTCGGCTCTCTTATTCCTCAGGCGTAGTTCCGACGTCCTGGAAGACAGCTTTAGTCCACCCAATCCCTAAAAAAGGTGATCGATCTAACCCGTCTAACTACAGACCGATAGCCATAACTTCCCTCTTCTCGAAAATAATGGAGTCCATTATTAACTGCCAGCTCCTGCGTTACTTAGAGGATCATCAGCTGCTCAGTGACCAGCAATACGGTTTTCGTAAAGGTCGGTCTGCTGGTGATCTCCTTGTTTACCTAACGCATCGGTGGGCACAGGCGATCGAGTCTAAGGGGGAAGCGTTGGCAGTAAGTTTAGACGTGGCGAAGGCCTTCGATCGGGTTTGGCATAGAGCGCTTCTTTCGAAGCTTCCTTCCTACGGACTTCCCGAGAAATTATGCAAATGGGTCTCCTACTTCCTTGCAGACAGAAGCATTAAAGTCGTCGTCGACGGTGAATGCTCTGACTTGATGTCTGTAAATGCAGGCGTCCCTCAAGGCTGCGTGCTATCGCCTACATTGTTCCTCCTCCATATCAATGACATGCTGCAAATCAGCGGCATTCATTGTTATGCGGATGACAGCACAGGCGATGCC